CTGTGCGTCCGGGGCCTGTGCTCCGCGGCGGGAGAGGCCGCAGCAGTGAGAGGCCCGGGGATCGCAAAAAAAAAAAAAAAAAAAAAAGTTGTAACTATGTGAGGTGATGGATATACTGTGGTCATCATTTTGGGATTAACATACACACACTACTATATAGAAGATAGATAACCAACAAGGACCTACTGTATAGCACAGGGAACTCTATATTCAGTGGTAACCTATATGGGAAAAGAATCTGAAAAGAAATGGGCATATGTATACGTATAACTGAATAACTTTGCTGTACACCTGAAACTAACACATCATAAATCAACTATACACGAATAAAATTTTTTAAAAAATCATTACGTTGCACAGCTTAAACTAATGCAATGTTATATGTCAATATATATTTCAATAAAACTAGGAAAGCAAAAAGAAATTTGGTTTCCTAGGAGAGGATGTTTCCATGAAGGGGGAAAAAAAAAAAAAAGACCTGGTTAGCCTATGTGGCCATAACAGAAATGACCATTTGATTTTCCTTAATCTTTTTACACAATGAAAACAGCATAAAGAGCGCTCTTAACTACACGTGGAGTCCAGGAACCCAGGAAGGAAGAGTTCTCTTCTTATGACATTCTATTCGAAGGGAGTTGTCACAGACTTCAAGCCTTTTTTAAAAAACTCCTATTAGGTATGAACACTGTTTTGTTCATTTTCTATTAATATTTGCTCTTCCATGACAGGCAGAAGTCTGGATTGCAACAGCTAGTTGTGTAAAATAAACTGAAGAAAGTCAAGTTACTGAGGGACAAGGGACCTGGGTGAGGAGAGGCCATGGGCTGGTGAGGAAGACTGACATTGAGCCCAAGTGGACTGTAGGGTCTCCACGTATGGACAGTGACTTAAGGTTCCAGGCTTAGTAGGATCCCCTCCTCTCTGGTGTATTTTTATTTTTCTGCTCTACCAGGGTGCTTGGTTTCCCACCATGTCTAGTGTGTAGCTGTTTCCCCACTAAACAAATACAGCAAGATTAAATCAAGTGTTTGCATTTTGGCTATAGATAAGTCAGCCAACACTTAATTTCACCTTTACAAACAAACCAAAAAGAGGATCCTGAGGTTTGGGGCTCCGCTTCCCTCTCTCTCTCTCTTCCCTCTAAGCCCGTTTCTTTCCCACTGGAGAAAAGCACTGAGCCTTACCCCACCTTGACCCTCAGGGCCTGCTGAGGAGCAGGTGAGACGACTTTCTGGCTATTGTACCTGGAGGCAGTGTCCCCAGGGTGCGGTGTTCAATAGAAAGAGATAAAGGAGCTAGAAAATTGAAGGGGAAGGTCCTTTCTGTTCCCCACAGCAATTCTTCCCCACTGCAGGGAGGATGGAGAATACACTTCCTGACTTGTAGTTTTCACCCCCTTACAGTTTGTATTAGTTATCTATTGCCACATAACAAATTGCCTTAAAACAGCTTGAAACAACATTACCGTCTGGTTTCTGTGATTCAGGAATCCAGGTGCAGTTTAGCTGGGTGCCTCTGCCTCAAGACTGCAATTAAGGTGTTGGCTGGAGGCTGCGTCTCATCTCATGGCTTGACTGGGAAAGGATCAGCGTCCAAAGTCACTCACATGGTTGCCAGCAGGATTCAGTTCTTCAAGGGCTATACTTTACCCCATGGGCCTCTTCATAGGGCAGCTCACAACATGGCAGCTGAATTCCATCAGCCCAAGCAGGTGAGAGGGACAGAGAAAGAGAGAGAAAAACCAAAGTGTTTTTGTAACCTAGTCTCGGCTGTGACATCACTTTTGCCATACTGTATTGATTAAAAGAGAAGCCCTAGGTTCAACCCACACTCAAGGCCAGGAGCTTGCACAAGGGGGTGAAGACCGAGAGCCATCTCAGCAGCTGACTAGGACACAATTCAAATCCCAAATTCATGCCACAGTTATGCTCTCTCACCTTAGAGCTCTCTTCTCCCCTGTATCTGAACTGGACAACTCTGACCCATTCTAGGATTAAGTGTCCCTCAAACATGCTTCCCCGACAGCCTGGACTTCAAGATAGCCCTATCACACTGTGTAACCTGGTCTACCTCCTGTACCTTCCATGAGCTCCGTGAGGTCAGCAGCCTTGTC